ATGTTCCTACCTAAATAGTTGTCTTGTGGAGTAACGCCCAAGCGGAACGCAAGATAATGAAATATGGATCTTGGCCCACTAGAGGTTTCGCCGGAAATCTCCGAATCAATATCGAGGGTTATTGATTTGTTAAAAATAGTGGGAGATAATTAATTAAAGGCCTAATTAATTATTAAACATGATAGATAACCTAGTTTGCGAAAATTTTCTGTAGATGGCAAACAACAACAACCCTTTCAACCTGCGATATGTTCTAGAAAAGGAAAAATTATCTGGAACCAACTTTCTTGACTGGGAGATGAACCTCCGAATCGTTTTTAACTATGAGAGGAAACTCTACATCCTCGAAACGGATCCTCCCAAGACCCCTAATGCCAATGCTCGTGCGTCCGAACTCACTTCCTTCAAGAAGTATGAGGACGACGCGCGAGATGTAAAGTGTATCATTATGGCGAGTATGACCGCGGAGTTCCAAAGGCTCCACGCGGACATTGAAGTGCATCCTATGATACAATGCTTAAGAGACCTTTACCAGGGTCAGCCCCAAAACTCAGGAATTTACGTTATCGAAGTCAATATGTCTGATATCACCTCTTGGGTGATGGATACTGGATGTGGATCTCACATCTGTACTTCTATGCAGAACTTGCATGAATATAGACAATTGACGGAGGGAGAGATACAACTAAAAGTCTGCAATGGCGCACTCGTCTATGCATTGGCCGTCGGAACCTATAGTTTATCTCTACCTAGTGGTCTAATATTGCATTTGAATAATTGTCTGTTTGTACCTAGTATGAGCAGAAACATCATTTCTGTATCCTGGCTTGACAAAGCAGGATTTTCGTTCGTTGTAAAAGACAAAACTCTTTCTGTCTTTAGAAATGATATATTTTATGCAAGTGCAAAAATGACCAACGGTCTCTATGTCCTTGACATGGATACCGCAATATATAATGTAGATGTTAAGAGAAACAAACCTAACAGTTTGAATCTCACGTACCTTTGGCATTGTTGTTTGGGCCACATTAACGAGAAACGCATATCTAAGTTACATCGTTCCGGTGTACTTGATTCATTTGACTTCCAGTCATATGATGTATGTAAATCTTGTTTACTTGGTAAAATGACAAAGGCTCCATTCACCGGTCACGGTGAAAGGGCGAGTGACTTATTGGGCCTCATACACTCCGATGTCTGTGGTCCAATTAGCAC